TTTTGTTTTGTTTTGTTTTGTTTTGTTTTGTTTTGTTTTGTTTTGTTTTGTTTTGTTTTGTTTTAGACAGGTTCTCCCGATGACTCTCGGGAGCACTGAGTGGCTAGGCAGGCTGGCCAGTGAGCTAACTGCAAGGATGCTCCTGTGTCTGCTCCTAGAACTGGGTTACAGATGTGAGGTTTGTTCCTCACCCGACTCCGAAGCATGGTGCCTGGGGGTCCAAACGCAGGTCCTCTTGCACGTTACCAAAGGAACTACCTCCCTGGCCTCCGACACTTTTTCTAAATGTTTCTTGCAGAGTCTACTAGTGATAAATTTCCTCCATTTTTGTTGATCTAAGATTTTATTTCTCTATCCCTTTTGGAAGGCCGTTTCCTGGGGTCCAGAATTCTAGGTTGGTGGATTTGTTCTCTCTGGACATTTAAACATGCCACCCCAGTCTCTCCTTGCTGGCAAGGTGTCTGCAAAGGAGTTGGGTAGAAGATTTAGCCTGACTTTTTAGTGGATGTTTTCACCTCCAGCTTCTTTCAGAGTTTTTGCTTGGTACCTAATACTGTCTGAGAAACATCTTTTTTTAAAAATAGTTCTTCCCTTCCTTTCACAAGTTCATTCAACACATTTTGTAGAGCTTGGGCACTCTGAAGTTTTTCAATCTTTGTTCTCTTTACTTTTCAGTTTTGGAGGATGTTGCTGAAATATCCCCAAGCTCAGAGTCTTCCTGCGGCCATGTCCACTCTAGCAATAAATCCATGCTTCATCTACTCTACATTTTCTTCCTTTTTAAAAAGATTTATTTAATATGTGTGTGTATTTGTGTGTGTGCATAAGTGTATGAGAGTGTGTGTGCATGAGTGTGAGTGTGTGTGTGAGAGTGTTTGTGTGCATGATTGTGTGTGATGTGTGTATGCATAAGTGTGCGAGAGTGTGTGCATGATTGTGTGTGATGTAAGTGTGTATAAGTGTGTGAGTGTGTGCATGAGTATAGACATGATTGTGTAAGAGTGTTGTACGTGATTGTGTGTGATATAAGAGTGTATATAAGTGTGTGAGTGTATGCATGAGTGTGTGCATGATTGTGTGTGGTGTGTATAAGTGTGTGAGTGTGTGCATGAGTGTGTAAGAGTGTGTGTGCATGATTGTGTGTGTGTGTGATGTAAGTGTGTGTGTGAGTACCTTGTGCATATATCAGGTGACATGTGTGTAGAGGTCAGAGGACAACTTTCAGGAGTCAGTTTTCTTTCCAGCCATGGAATCCAGGGATCCGACTCAGGCTGTTGAATCTTGAGCTCTTGTGATGACTGGACCACCCCCTCCTCATCAGGTACCATCAACTTAGTCTAGAAAGGTTCCAACCTGGCTGTCTCTCCCTAGGCAGTGTCA